CCCCACCCCCTCCCCTACCAGCCCCTCTGCTGTGCACCGTGACCTTTGCAGACGGATGTTCTGTCTTACTTGGCATCTCCCCTCCCACACACCCCATCTAGACCCTGAGGTTCATCCTCCTCTTAGCGGTTTCTTGGAAATAAAAGGAACCCCCTCAGCTGTTGGGAGTGCCCGAGGGGGTCGTAAAGAGCTCTCCTCTCCCCCACCCTGAGCTCTGGGCCAGCTGGGAAAGGAGACAAATAGCAGGAACGAACGTTCTCCAAGTCGCCATCGCTTTATAGCGGAGGTGGCCTCTGCCTGCAGGCGTAGCTCCACAGCGAAACCCAGCAGGCCTCCCCGACCACCAGGCCTACGGCTGCTTGTGCTGAGTCCCAGCCCCCAGCCCCCAGCCCAGAGGAGGGAAGGCGCACACCACCTCCCAGCAGAGCCCCTTAGATCAGTCTCACCAAATGGTGCCGTGGGAACCTCCTACAGGGCCCCTCCTGCCCAGAGAGACTTGCAGGCCGAGGTTCCCTGTGTGGTCAGCGACCAGGGAAGCAGTGGCTTAGACACAGGCACGAACTTCAGGTAACTTCAGGGGGGGTCATTGCGTGTGGCTGGGTGGATGAGATGGAGAGGGGTTCAGCCAGGTATGGGGCTGGGCTGCCAGGTGTGGAGCTGGGCTGCCAGGTGTGAGGGTGGGCTGCCAGGTGTGGGGGCTGGGCTGCCAGGTGTGGAGCTGGGCTGCCAGGTGTGGGCTATGGGCTTTGATTTGGACAGGGGTCTGGCAGCTGCCACCGAGATCAGACCTGCCTGTACCTTGGGAGTGCCGAGGGGGTCGTAAAGAGCTCTCCTCTCCCCCACCCTGAGCTCTGGGCCAGCTGGGAAACGAGACAAATAGCAGGAACGTTCTCCAACCTGGCCGCCATCGCTTTCTAGCGGAGGTGGCCTCTGCCTGCAGGCATAGCTCCACAGCGAAACCCTGCAGGCCTCCCCGACCACCAGGCCACGGCTGCTTGTGCTGAGTCCCAGCCCCCAGCCCCCAGACACTGTCATCTTCCCAGCAAGGGAAGGCTTCGTGGAGGAGTCCTGTGTCCAATGAGCACCTGTCTTCTCTCAGCAAGGGTGGAATGAGCTCCCGCCGAGTGCCTGGCGCTGTGCGCGGTGCCGGGGGAGGAGGCTGAGAAAAGCAAGGCCCCCAAGATGCCCATCGCCCACAGGGAGAAGCAGCGCACACAGGCACACACGGGGCAGTGAGACAGCGCGAGCTGGACT